TACCTTCACACAGACATACATACATACAGGCAAAACACCATTGCATATAAAATTAAAATGAACAATTTTTTAAAATCATCAAAACAAAAGCACATGGTCTATGTAGCCAAGGTTAGCCTTGAATTCCCTATGTAGCAGAGGATGACCTTGAACTCTCCATCTCTGGCATTATAGGGGCGTGCCACTAGGCCCAGTTTATGTGGTGCCAGAGAGCAAACTTAGGGCTTCCTGCATGCTAGACAAATACCCCACCAACTGTGCTGCATCCTCTGTCCCAAGCTGCCTCTTCTTGCCTCCTTCATCTCCCAGAGGTCTTCTCTGTCCTCCAGGACCAGAGCTCATCTATGAAGTCTGACTTAATCAGGAGCCCTAGGTATCTCTGGGCGCACCGAAGTTACACAGGGAAGGCCTTTTTCTGAATACCCTGAGCTGTGGGGAGACGCCTAGAGTGGGGAGAGGAGATGAAGAGAAGCAAGGCTTTCCTACGACAGGACAAGCAGCATGGCAGCGGCTCCAAACTGCGCAGAATGCCACCAGCCAGCACGGGCCACTGGCACCGTTTCCTGCTCCACCCTCCTGGAACTCATCCAGCCTCACCTGGATCCTCCCAACTGTCCCTGTCCAGGCGATGACAGGGATTTGCTGTTTTAAAATAAGACAGTCCCAGGGAAATGAGGGAAATTACAAGTTGGCCACCCTGGATGGGTGATGACATCTCTCAGGAGTATCTGCCTGTTTTAGGACTTGGGGCAGCACTGTTTCCCTAGCATTCCGTGAGGCCTCAAGACTCTTGACTTCCAGGGTGATACCAGGCATGAGGAAGAGAAGGCTGGAGAAAATCAGGGTGGCGGGTCTGACTACCCATAGCACAGAGGCGCACCTCTGCAGCCATTCCAGTTCCCAGACCCCGATTTCCCCTTCTCTCAGCCATAGGACAGCACTCAGGCTGCACACCTCTTCAAGCTCCTTTCCTTGTCATGGGAGGGAAGGGAGCTCTGCAGCGTCATTGGGGACTCCGAGACTCATTGTTTCTCCGCACCTCAGTTTCTTCGTCTGCCGTGGTGCCAGCAGTGCCTAAATCGCAATATCACAACAGGTGTAGCCACTCTTCAGTTCTAGGATTTACTAGAAGAACTCAAAAAACAAACAAACAAACAAACAAACAAACAAAAAACTAAGTAAAGCTTGTAGTAAGAATTTTGAAATTTTGGTTTCTTAAAAAAAAAAGACATAAATATTATAAGACTATGTTTTCGTTTTAATCCCAGGTGTGGGGACATAGGGCCGCTTGGCAGCAGCTGACTAGGATTTGCCTCGTGCTCTAGCAGAGGCGTGGTTTTGCCAGCTGCAGGGAGTTTCTGCGATTGTGTGACATTGGGGATTCCGGGGGCTTTTCAGAGTAGATAAACGCTAGAGCTCCAAGAGGTAGTAGGAGTTGGCGGCTGGTTGTTGTTGGTCGCCGTTTGTCATGGTTTGCTAAGTAGTCATGCACAAAGAAGAAACGAGGACTTAAATGTTCTGATCAAACTTGCCCCAAGGAAGTCGACGCCCCTAATCAGCAAGAAGTAGTGTAATGATAACATCATTATCATCCCCCTTCTGGCCCCTGCTAGCCTTTTTTCTCTCCTATCTAGTGTTAGGGGGCTGAAAGGGTTGGGAAAAGGGTGGAAGAAATAAGAACACACAAAGTAACAAACACTGGCTACAAAGCTGCCATCCTCTCAGTTGCTGTTTAGCCTCTTAGAAAAACCGTTTAAAACTAGCAAAGACGGGAGGACAGAGTCAAGGAGAGGCCTTGAGGTGTCCAGCTGGCCTCTTGGCACATTTGCATGCATGATACTTAATTTTCTCAGCAACGATGTGTGGCAACGTGGGTCAAGTAGTGCTGACCGGGTCAATTCCTCTGGGTGCTAATGTCCAGGGTTTTTATTGGTGGCCTATCTCTCAGGCACAAAGCAGCAGCACAGCTGACCTCAGTTCCGCAGTCTGCAGCTCCCCTAGAGGTTAAACCCATACAGCACGATCCAAGGCCCTGACCATAAATTACATTGTTAGCATAAACCATCTGGCCAAGACAGAGGCCCCAGGGTAGAAGCAAAGATAGTCTGTCAGGCAAGATACTGCAAGGGCTCTGAAGCTAGTTCCCCCAGAATCCTTTAAATGTGAGTTTTTCCAAAATGACCTCATCCCAGATGAGCTGAGGCAGCTGTTTAGAGTCAACGTGTAATAACACCCGTTGTCATTTTTGTTTCTTATACACGGGTGAGGTCTGCTTCATGAAATCACCTATCTCTTGTCCCAACTGCTACCCTACAGGATCAGGTGGTTTCAACTGGACCCTCTTCCTTATTACTTACTCCCCAGCCTCTTTCATGGTAGAAGGATATTGTATAATACATATTATACATTAGAATATGTATGTATGTATGTAACACCCTTGGCCTCTCTATCTTTTCACCTATTCCTACCCGGTGAAAGAAGACTTCCCACCTAGTGAGTTTGGAGAAAGAACAATGCTCACAGAGCACACACTGCTTGCACTCTCCCAAGCTCTTTGCATGTAGATCATTCCACGAGTCCATAGTTGCAGCCCTTTGAGAGATGCCCAGCTGCTGCCCTATGCCTGGAGGTGGCATCAGGTTTAGGGACAAGGTCTCAGCTAGATGTGGCTGACAGATCCTAAACCACGATCTCAAGCACGTTAGAGGCTAGAAAGGTGACAGTTTGTCTCCGTTAGCCTGTCTTCCTGTCTTCTGTGTTTATCCTCTACCTGTGCTTAACCCGAGCAGGAAAAGGAGAAGCAACACTCATTAGGCCCTCGAGCCCAAGAATGCGGAGTCTTCCCCAGGCTTGCAAAATCATGATTGGGTATTCCCTAAAAATATCTCTGCCAAGGTCCCCAGGTCCTTCTTTCCTGCTCCCTCCTCAGGATCTTCTGGCTTCTCCCACGCTCTGGCCATGTTTCCAGCTATCTAGGATCCTCTCCAAATGTCAGACCAAAAATAAACATAGGTGGCTACAGATGTGGTCTGAAGATGTCTAACCTCTTACACACACACACACACACACACACACACACACACACACACACACACGTCTCCTGGACAAGTGCATAGCATCTGGACCTGCAGGAGTCTTGAGTCCTCTCCTTGTGAGTACCTTTAGATCCTGTTTCCTCCACTTTGGGCAGACTGCTATTAACCAGTCAAGCTCTCCTTCTAGTTACATTTGAAATCTCTGTCTCCTCTCTCTGTCTGTCTGTCTATGTGTCCGTCTGTCTCTTTCCAGGGTTTAGTGGTTTAGGAACCTCCTTCAAGAAACACTCCCTTCTGCTGCTGAAGAGCTAAGCAACTTCAGCAATGTTTTATCTACACTAGAAGCATCTATCAGACATCCATAAAGCTTTCTGAAACACACCGGGACAGTTAAGAGCACAGGCTCTAAAAGAGCTAGCTAGATAGCGCTAGGTTCAAATCCCGAGTTGGCCAGCTTTGATCTTGGGCAAGTTACTTAAGCTTAAGTCTTTGTTTTCACATAACCCTGAAGTGAAGCGTGTAACGATATATATTCTGACTGATGACTGTAAGCTATTATGTGATTATCAGTATTACTGTTGCTAAATTAGCTCAGTTGCTACTTCAACTAAACTAGATCAGAAGCTGCCTGTAGTTGAAGCAGAGATACAGCCCTTCTGGGAAGACAGCTGATGGGTAGACATTGTACTTAACCATGGGTTACAAGGTCCTTCGGTGAAGGTCAGCTGAAGGGGATCCAAATGTTTGCATCATGTTTGAGTCTGTGAGTAAAAGAAGAGGGTGAATGGAAGATCAGAGGGTATGGGCCAGCCTGCAAGCCCTCAACTAGAGAGACCCAACTGCTCAGTGTTGCCGATGCTGGCCAGCAGGCCCCTCAGGCTGATGTGTGGGCAGCCTCTGGGAGGGGCTGGAGAAAGGATATAGGAATCCGTGACACAGGGGCTGTTTGCAAACACAAGTCACAGTGACTGCTAAGGGCCTCGGGTCACACGTGTGTGATCATTCCGCTATCCCAGAAGGAACTAGTCTAAAAACAGTCTGATGGGTTCAGGGGTTTCTTAAGGCTGCAAGATGGAAAGTGAGCACAAGGGGCCTGGACTTGGAGCACCAGTCATTCATTAACATGGAGAAAACATAGAGGAGAGCGCTCTGGTTTTCGTGGTTAGCTTGCCATAGGAAAACAGCACTGTGCTGCCCTCAGGAGATGCCTGTGGGGGCAGAAGGGAAGGGGTTACGTCATTAAATAAACGACCAGACACCCTATCAACTCCTGCTTTGTGAGTCAGTGTCATGGCTCTACTGTGCTATCTTCTAGGTGTCACCGCCGGTGCCCTCGGGTTCAGAATTCTACCACAGAGACCTCACAAGGTCCGATATACAGAGCAACCCTTTTACAAGCTAAATGGAGGGAAAGCAGAATTGGATGAAAGCAGTAAGGAAATAGAGAAACGATAGCCTAACGGTGCAAGCAGACGGAAAAACCGAACAGTGAGGTCAGGGATTACGCAGATGCAGCCATCTGAGGCCATTTCAGGGTGTGGGCAAGCCCCTGGCCTGTCTCAGTGCACAACACACATCAACAGGTCTTAGTAAACCAATTGTTACGTGATAAATCACAAAAGCCTGGAGTCGTTAAAAGAAAGGTAAATCTGTTCAACACAACCAATTTAAGAATATACAAGCAAAATGCTACACAGCCAAGCAACCGTACCATCACAAACAGGAAACAGTCCCAGGTGAAGGTCACAGGTCTGACTTAGCGTCTGAGGCCTCCTTCCTTGACCAGGCTGGATAAAAAAACCATATTGAGGTCTCTTTTTTGCCTCTCTGCATGGTGTTATTTTGGTAGCAGGAAAGCAATAAAAATGGGGAAGGGGGAATAAATGGGGATTTAGCGTTGTCTTTCCATTAAAACACTATCTTCCAGCTGCCCGCACAGGCGTGTGCACGGGTGGTTCAGTCGGCCTAGCTCTTCCTGGTGACTTGCAATGGGTCGCGGCTCCTGATCAGCATCTTCTCCAGCCGCTGGCAGTGTTCACGCAGCTGCTTCTCCCGGGGCAGGAGGAAGGTAAGGACCTTGTTGCGAACGATGCCACGGTCCTCCTCCTCCCTCAGCCGCTGCTTCACCCGCGCTGCCTGCTCCTCCTGCTGTGCCAGGACACCATTCATCTCCCAGAAGGCATCCTCCAAGTAGCGGATGGCCTGCAGAGCATCCTTCTTGAAGTCCTCCAGCTCCCTTTGCACCGCAGCCACTTTCTGCTTGAGGATCTCCAAGTCGGCCGGCAGAGGGAGGCAGGAGGACCATGACTGAGACAGGGAAAGGTCCCCAGACTGGAGCCCACTCTCCACCATCTTCTTGCCCTGTAAGGTATTCACCGTCATAAGAATGGACCCTGCCTGACAAGGGACTTCCATCATCTTCCTTCTGCAGAGAGGAAGCCAAGAAACCAACTGAGACAGGGAGATATTTGGGGGCTAAAGGCATTACAATTTGGAGTGGACAGACACATCTCATTGTGACATCAGAGCCCTTCGGCCAATCAGAAGAAAAGCCCCAGTTCACTACTTTGCATATTGTAGGTTCCTTGGCTGGTAACCTACAGTTTTACCTGTGCCTTCCAAGTCTCCTGAGATGAGGGTTCTCATTAATTTGTTCTTTAACCCCAAAGGCAAGCCAAATCCCAGAGAGTAGAGAAAACTAGCCAAGTCAAGGCAGGCCAGGTCAGGTTCACAGACTGCCAAGAGTGAGCAATCTCCCACCCCACAAGGAACATGGATGGTTTTATGGCACCGTGTCTGGGCTTCTATCAGCATCACCCATAGGACAAAGTCATCCTAAGAGATGATGTCTGATCCACCAGCAGCTCTAAGATGCTACAGGAGTGATCTTCCCCAAATCCATATACCTGCCGTGATGCTAAAAGACCCGCTTGTTGTGGTGTGTCTGCTTTTCAAGTGTGGTCCACAGAAACACCTGTAGGGTAAAAATGAGTCATTCATATTTATTCAGCTAAAACATCCTGAGTACTCGCTGGTTCCTGGGACTAGAGAACAGGAATGAGTAAGTACATGTTCCCAACATACCCAGATGATGGCAAAGAAGGCGGTGTGTGCACGTAAATCTGTTTTTACCTGGTTACTCTAAAGAGGCAAACGTTTCTAGCCACATTTAGCTCAAAGAACAAACCCCTCCCTTTGCAGATCACAATCTCTTGTCCAGACTTCCTTCCAGGGCTCCTAACACAAACATCTCTCCCGACAACCGGCCTTGAAGCCGAACCATCTAGAGCCAGATAAATTACCTCTTTACTCAAGTTGGTTCCTAATCTGCTGTCCTACCTGGGGCAGCAGCCACAGCAGCATCTAGTGCCATGGTTGGAATGTCTGTCCCCTTCCCAACTCACTTTGAAACTCTGTCATCCTATCGGTATTGAGAAACAAGTGTCTCTGGGAGGCAGAGTGTATTGGGTGGATGTCATCATGCAAAAATAACTTTTATTCTCCAGATGTTGTCATCTTGGAGGCTTCCTGCCACCATCTGCTAACATAGGCTTTGTCCTGGAAGCTTCTAGCCTCCATACAATCTAATCTAAGTTTAGAATGTTTTCAGCCTCTGAAACTTACTGTTGAATAAGCTCACCCTTTCTAGCTCTTTCTGAACTCTGGCTGGCCGGTTCAACACAGCTGTTCTGGCACAAACTCCTCTCCTAGCTGACTGATTCAGTCTGGCTTTTCTCTTGGCCTCTGGCTGAATTGCTCTGCGTGGCCTCAAACTAACTCTAGCAATCTTTTCTAATCTTCTGAGAAGCTCCTTCTCATACTCTGCTTGGTCTGTCTTCACCTGTTTCTATCCTGTTCTTTCTCTGCAGCCTGTTTTTTTTTTTTTTTTTTTTTTTTTTACAGCTGTCCCAGTAAAACTGCCTCTGAATTCCACAGACTGAACTGCCACCAACTCAACTTCCCTGCTCTGCCTCTCATCTGACTGATTCAACCAAACTGCCTGAGCAGAGCTGCCTAGAACTCAGAAATCTGCATGCCTGTCTCCCGAGCGCTGGGATTAAAGGTGTGTTCCACCGTGCCAGGATCTAAGCTTTTCTTTATCTGGAACTTGCTCTATACCAGGGCAGGCCTTGAACCTGAGATCTGCTTTCCTCCGTCTCCTGAGATTAAAGATGTGTCTGTATTCCAGCCAGAGCAGCCACGTTCTGAGTTCAGGTTCTTCTTACTTCGCCATCTCTGGAGTGCATTCTTTATCATTAAAAACTGCTGCTTGATCCCCTTTTGGTTCTCCTGCCATCTTTGCCTTTCTACCATGGGTCCCTTCCACATGGGATGGCATGGAAGTCTTCACCAGATACCAGCTCCTTGATCTCAGGCTTCCCAACTTCTGGAATTTCAGAATTGTAGGAAAACAAATTCTGTTGTTGTTTGTTTATTGGTTTGTAGATCTCTCAGCCTCTGGTCTTTTATTTTGTCACTGCAGAACAACACAGAGAATGCTCCCTGGGATCAAGCTAGATTCCCCGTATCCAAGTGGCTTCAAAGGCTGTTCGGTTTCTCATCTCTGAGCACCCTGTCACCCACCCTCCTGCCCTGGAGCCCAGGCTTCACCTCCTGGAAGCCATGTCTCATCAGTAGATCACCTTTCCCCCTTGAGCCCTGCTTCCTTCTCTGAGTTTCTGAGAGCTGTGGTGTACAGCTCTCTGGGAGGGAAAAATAACTCTCTGATGGGCAGAAGCTGCCAATTTCCACAGTGTAAACACTTCCAGCAAGTACAATTTCAAGCTAACCAACTTGCTTGTCTCCAGGAAGTGAAGAACCAAATGAGCCCTCCTGAGCCCTCAGAAGCCAACTCTGGGCCCATGATGAGGGCTACTGCCTTCTCTGAGACGTAGATTAAATATCTGGTGGCCTCATGTAGTCATCAGAGAGGGCCTATTGCAGGGACAGGTGTAGCTAAATGAAGATGAGATTTTGAATTGAAAAAAAAAATACTGAGAAAGAATGTTGAATGGAAAGAGTACCTGCTTGTCTAGGAGTCAGGAGCTGCTGTGTGGTCCCTAGCTCAGTCACCTCCCCTTACTGAACCTTTTTCCCCTAGCTGTGACATGAGAGGTAGGAGAAAGCTGCTCTGCAGTCAGTAGTGTTCAAAGGTCCCACATAGTCTTCCACAGCCTCCCCTGTGATTCTCCTCTTCCTGGCTCTTACGACTGTTACCTGGTTCTACTGTTCCCTTAGGCATAGCGAACTCTGGGCAACTTGAGATTGTGTATTCCTCAACCCGTTTACCTTCAAGTGTCCTACCTGCTGCCCCCCCCACACACACACACACAACGGCATTGAGATAACTAGAAGAAATGCAATTTCATTCCATAGGTTGGCTTTCAAATGCTGGGCACCCCTAGCTTTTCTGCTGACACATTGACACCTACTGGCCTTCATAGAAACCGCAGCCTCAGAATTCCACCCAAGAGTGGGTGGGGATGAAGAGCTGATGGAAACAGCATGGGGTCTGTGGTATATTTAATTACGGGCTTGAGTGTGTTATGCACTAAAAGGTTCTCTGTCAATAAATAATATTTCCCAGATTACTGAAAGGGAGAACAAAAATAATGTGTCTTTTCTACTCTTATCCTCTCTTGTCCTCCCCCCTTCCTGCCTCTCCCTCTCTGTCTCTTCCCTCATTCTTTGCCTCTTTGTTTCACACAGGGAATGGTGGAGGTCACAGCTGTAGCTGTGACATGAAAGTCGAAAGGTCAATATTGGGACAGCATTTTCTCAGTTCCCCTGGTGCTGTTGAATGAGGCTCCAGTTTGCTTCCTAGAACCACAAGGAAGGCGGCCTCGTAGTGACCTTATTCTCAGAGCCACAGGGGACTGAGAGCTGGTGCTGTCACCAAGGCCTGGTGGCCTCCAGAGCCTTCAGGAAAATTACTCTACACTGGCTATGTATGTTGTGAATGTTCCCCTGTGCCAGGAGGTTCCACAGTTCTGCGTAGCCTTGCATTCCACCTGCCCTCCCATATGTCTCAGGAACTAGGTCTGCTAATCTATCTGTTCCCTTCAAGGTACCAAGAGAAGGGAACACAGAGCTAGCAAAACAGCCATAACCTGCAACCCCATCATCAAGAGAGCCCCCTGCCCCAGACTCTTTCTGCTTATCTCTGCTTCCCCGTGGCTCAAGAGGATAGGGAGGCGTGGGGAATGTGGCGGCTTTACAGACACCTCTTCCAATAGTATAAAACCCCATTTCTTTGGGGAATTATAGAGGACACCCACTCCCATCTCTCCTGTCATGTCTTTGTCAAGCCATGGAACCCTGAGAAACTGAAAGTTCCTGTTGTCCTGTTAGAATGGCATCCCCAGCCATTTCTACTCATCGTTGTCTCTAAGCCAACCATAGTTGCTTACTAACCCACAGCTGTCTCGAGCAGTCATACTTCTCTTCCGGGACTGGAATTGGGATCAGGCTAGTTCCCCTGATACACAGGCCTCACAATATTAGAACCAACTGGGGATTTGTACTCAAGAGGACAGAAAAACCAGCTGTGTCTGGGTATATTTTTAAGAAAAGACCTTGCTTAACCCTCAGATGAAGTACTTATGTCAATTTCTAGGCAGTGTCTGTCTGTCCTCATCCCCAGGGAAAGCAATGCTGGGAGCAACGGGTTTCAGAGCAACATGCCGAACTCTCAAAGAGCATGTGAGCAGCTATGTGTAGAAGAGGGGACAGCTATGGAGTCTCTTTTCCCAGAATCCCCTGGTCCTGTACTCTCATGATGGTTACACTGCCATAAATGAGGTCACTATACCAACACCTCTTCTAGCTGACCTTTCGCCCACCCATGCATTCATCCACCCATCCATCTACCCACCTTCTCATTACCCATCCATCCACCCATTCATCCTTCCACACATCTGTCTACCTAGTTTTCCACTTATACAGACACATACTCGCCATAGTCTATTGCATGCTTACCCAGTGTTCTCTGAGCGAGGCAATAAGTGCTCAAGAGACAGAACAAGACGTAGAAGGCCCTGCTCTGAGACAGCCAGTGTTCCACTGGCAGGAGACAAACAGTAAAGTAAGCAATTAACACATAACGCCACGAGGCTGGCGCCAGGTCCCTGAAGAAAAGAGTGTTGGGCTCTGCCAGATGACGGATTGGTGAGGTGAAGCTTTGGGGGTGAGACATGAAGGCTGAGCGCTGGAGACAACGCTCTAGGGGAGGGGGCAGGAATGGGCAGGAAGAACCAAAGGAAGCCAGGGTCTTGCTGTGTGGCTGGAGGCGAGCACAGCAGCAGCAGGAGGAGGTGGCTATGAGGAAGGGTACAGGGCCAGCATCAGAGAGGCGGAAGAGGGTTTCCCCCATGCCGGCTGTGTGAGGGCCATGTGGGATGGCTACAGCTCTGGGC